CGGGAACACATTGTATATAACACAACGCTGGCGGGTGTCATTTCCTCCGAATCTTTCTCCTTTCTACAAGACTGACACATCTATCTTCATTTTTGCAGTCGAGTCATGTATATTTTAAATGTATATTTTATTTCAGTTTTAGCTTTAGTTATTTTAGTACATCAAATTAAACTAAATGAAAATGAGAAATGTTGCTTTGGCAACTAGTTGAAATCAAATAAGTTTAAGGTTTTTTTTATATATTTGATTTCAGGTAACATTTATTTTATTTCAAGTTAAGAAAATGTTTTTTTTTACGACTTTAGTTTTAGTTGACTAAAATAACTGGGTTCTTCCTCTATTCACTGTCGCTTAGCAATATAGTCTGTTTATGAGCAGCACTAAGTCATAGCTTTATCCAACAGCGGTGCAATGGAAAATAAATTAAAACCTCTCTGTAAAACATCCGTTGCATTTATCGCACCAAATTTTCGCACCGCACACATTCATCTTGGTGTGAACAGGCCTTAAATAGTTACTTAAAAATGAAAGTTCTGTCGTCATTTACGCACCCTCAAGTTGTTTCAAACCTGCATGAATTTCTTTCTTCTGCTGAACACAAAATACTATATTTTGAAGAATGTCGGTAACCAGACAGTTGATGGGCCCCATTGACTTCCATAGTATTTTTTTTTTCCTATAGAAGTCAATGGGGCCCATCAACTGTCTGGTGGTTACCAACATTTGTGTTCAGCAGAAGAAAGAAATTAATACAGGTTTGAAACAACTTGAGGGTGAGTAAATAATTTTCATTTTTAAGTGAACTATTCCTTTAACTTCACTTAAACTCCATTTAAAAATGTTTTAAGTGTTTTATTTATAAGTTATTAAGGCGAAATGTTATAATATAAATTTGAATATGAAAATAATTATCTGCGGTTTCAGCCATAATTAGGCCTAAATTTTAAAATACAATATCAGTGCATCTTTGATGGGTGAACATACACATTTCAAAAAGTGAGGATGTATGAATGGATCGGTGGAAAAAAAGATTTACACATGCAAAGAGAGGGACAAAGGAAAAAGGTTACGAGAACATCTAATTGTTTCTTCATGCAAATGCACAGCATGTTGAGGTCATTTGGGCCTTTATGAAACAATGTTTTGAATACAGTCAGCCTCATCCAGTTCCTTCTACTTCCCCTTGCAGTTCTATCGATAAGCAGTGTATATATTATATAACACAAATGAATTTCCACTTGTAGGCTAAATGATGGGATTATGTGCATTCATATCCTCAGAAATGCACAAAAACTATTTTTTTACCCTCCATTCGGGTCATGGAAATATGACAAATTTGGGTCATGACTCAAATGGCTTTCTGAAGGAAATATGACACGTAAAGTGAAATTTTATACAACATGTACATGCTGGATAACTTTGAAACAGGAGTGATTAGGTTTCAGTTTATGCTGGAGACATTTGATGTGAGAAGAGGACTGATTCAATATACAGTTAGTCAACATATGGGAAATTCTGTGCAAGGGCAACATGCTGTTTTTGTGGAAAAAGGAGCTGGAAAGTAGATTTACTGACGAGTTGTGCGCGTTACACTGGAGGTCAGTGTGAATTACTGTCAGCAAAGCACTTTCTAAAATCGTTCCAACAGCTGTTATTTTATGTTATTAATCAACATTTTTGTTACATGATAGTTTGATCATGACATGTAGGCCATCTTGCTTGTAGCAAATGTGAGAACGATTCGTGTTCTCGCACATCAACAATAAACTGAGAGCTGTGGATTTACGACCAAGAACTCTCAGTTCTCTCTTTCTTTCTCACTTATTCCAAGAGTCTGGCAGATGTTTGACCCCTGGAGAAAGGAGTGAGACGGACTCTGCCCAATCTCCAGAGACGCTCAGAGAGAGAAATACTCCGAGCCCTGCCCTTCTCTGCAAGGCGTTAGCCAATGTGGTTTAGCGAACCAAGAGCTCAAAGAAACAGCACTGACAGCTCAGTCTGGGTGGAGTCTGTCCTGTCACTTACAACACAGCATTGTCATATCACAATACCCATGTTTAGCAGAAGAAGTGCTCAGTGATATAGAAAATGGAGTAAATCAAGTGCGACAGAATCCCATTGACATTTTTTTACTGTGTCCTTGTAGTTTACTATGCTGAATTCATATTTGCGGTACTGCTCAAGTCATCGATGTTTACATTGAAGTGTAGCTGACTAAATGTAATATTTTAAGATTCAACCATTGGAAAATCCCATAATGGTTGACCACTAATCTGAACATATATGGTGATTAAGGTCCTTGTTCAAGTATCGTGTGTGAGTTTATCGCACTTTATCAACAAACCCGAATTACGCAAATCATGTAAGCCAGCAGAGGAACAGACGATCTTAATGGCTACTAGTTTTGGCAGCAAAAGGAGAACTTGCACTAGATTGCAAAGTATGCAGACGGGAATCAAAACTAGAAGTGGTCAGTTACATTTATCCATCCTTCACACTCTATACTGAATCTAGAATTTAGAGTCTTTCATCATAAGGGGCTCTTTTCATCATTGATGGGCTGTAATTGCACACTTAGTCCTCTATATTTGCACACTTAAATATGTGAAAATAAGAAAAAATAAATGATCGTGGGAACTGTCACCACAACTTATGACACAGCAAGTCACCTCTTTCCAGTGACTCACCACAGGAAAGTGAGCCCCTTGTGTCATTCAAGATATTCAGCTGTTTTGTAGGCTACTTTCACATTAAGAAGTCAACAACAATAACGGCCTACAACTGCGTGTAGGTTGACGGATGAGTGTGGAAGATCCTCTCACAGATGTGCTATTATCTTTACAAACTGTAATGACAGTGGTTGGTTAGTAAAATATGACTTCTCTAATAGAAGCTGTTATATTGTTCTGAAAAAGATAAATATCCCAACTTCTGCATGGCTCTGTTGGATTGCTTAAAATGAGGATGTTTCTCAGTTCCTCATTCCCTCTGGAAAACCCAACTGCCTTTTTTTTTTTGTCTCCAAATTTGCATAATTTCCCATTCATTCTCTATATTATGTTTCAAAATACACAACCAAATTTCCACAAGTCTTTCAGAAAAGTATCTATAATGTAAACTAAAAACATTGTTATAACAAACTTTGTTTCCATCCATGTAATTTGTCACAGTAATTATTCATTTCTACTCAGTTTTATGTGTTTTCAGAGTTTCAACCTTATACAGTCTGGTTTCAACTCACCATTTATTTAATTCAAAGTGGTCAAAAGTGCCATGAAATGAACTCATCACTGCAGGTTATCTTTGGCATCATTGTGAATGAACTAGAACCTCGTGTTTTAATATTAATGAGCGTATTTAATTGATATTTATTCAACGGTACTCTATGGGAGTGGCCCCTATTCCTGCTCTCTGATTTAAAACTCTCAAGCCACTGGTTAATCATCGAGCCGCGGTCGAAAGCGAGAACAGGATATTTTGCTAAATATCACACGGTCGGAATTATAAATCTCTGCGTAATTTCTCTTTAACAAATGAAGTCAGAAATGAAACGCATAAAGATGTTGTCTAACAAGCTACGCTAGTATCACAGGACTATTTATGACTATTAAATAAATATGTCTTACCAAACATATCAGATGCTTTGAGGACCGTAATCCCGCTGCTGTGGAAGTTAGTTGCTGAGGTCTGTAGGACGTGAGTTGTGTTCACCCCAGAGAGGAAGTTAATGGCTTAACGGCATATTTGAGGAAGTTTACCGAAGTAAATGTGGCTATGACAGTGTTTAAGAGGGCGTAACAGTCTGTCTACACTGCGACTGCACGCGCGCGCGCTCCCACTTTAAATCAGGCAGTTCGTTCGCGTGCACTGTCAGCTCCGTTGATCGTTCGCTACTGTAGTAGAATATGCATCACAGGGAAATCCCGTATCACCACAACATCAAACTCATATTGAAACTACCTGACCTAAGGAGGAGCCGTGAGAATATCGACTTGAATCATACACAGAGCCGTGGGTGTTATGCAAAAATTATTGTTACCAAATGTAATGGAATAGTTTACCCAAAATGAACATTAATGTTTTAATTTATTTTATTATTTTATTTATTTTAATATTATGTCGTTACAAACCCGTGACTTATTGTTTTGTGAAGAACAAAAATATAAGTTTTGAATACTATCAAAGTGGATGGAGAATGTGAAACAACACTCTTTAAAAATAAAGGTTCTTTATTGGCATCCATGGTTCCATGAAAAACCTTTAACGTCAATGGAACCTTTTCATTCCACAAAAGGTTCTTTAGTGGAAAAGGGTTCTAGATTTTAAAAATGTTTTTTACACAGAGAGAAAAATGGGTTCTTTTAAGAACAGTTCACTAAGGTTCTCGGGGAAAATATAGGCCTAGTATATTCTTCTATCAAACAACCTTAATATGAAACCTTTATTTTTAACAGTGAAGTTCCAAAAAGCATTGTAAAACAAACAATCTAACTTTCATTGGCCTTTGTATATTTTTTGGAACATGGACTTTATCATTGTATGGAAAAGGAATTAAATTATAGGCTATGAAAAAGTTATTCTTTTGTGCTAGCTACACACACACAAAAAAGTCAGTCATACAGGTTGGAAGACATGAGGATGAGTAAATTACAGAATTTTAGTTACAGTGATATCCTTTAATAGCCCATATCAATTGTGGAATCTCATTCAGTCAGAAAGCTTTCAGAATTTTTTTATAGATAGATAGATAGATAGATAGATAGATAGATAGATAGATAGATAGATAGATAGATAGATAGATAGATAGATAGATAGATAGATAGATAGATAGATAGATAGATAGATAGATAGATAGATAGATAGATAGATAGATAGATAGATAGGATTGGTAAACAGACAAGAAAACTGGGAGTGGTTTCTTCATTTTTAGCTGCATGGTTGAGTATCACACCACTAGATGGCTGTGTCTTTCTGCTTTTTGAGACCAAACCTCAAAACCTGACAATTTATATCCCAAGAAACTATTTGCGCTACCATTAGACATCCTCCAAAAGCAACACCAAACGGTTTCCTAACACCGATGGGATTTGGACAACTCAGAAAATAGGACTTTGAAACAATGAACCTCGAAATTTGATTTATATATCCGGGACATACTTTTGTGTCATATATTTGGAGAACAATTCTTTCTTCATTTTGGACGTTTTGTTCGAAGCGGGTATTGTGATGGACAAATATTTTTGACAATATTTCACATTATTGAGAGGGAGGGCATGTTATGGCGCAGACTATGAGGGGGAAATGTGGAAAATGAATGTCTAACATCGTTGAAGTGTTGTTTAAACTTATTGGACCATTAAAACGACAACATTTTCTCGTCTGAGTTAAAACAACATCCTACAAAATCGGTTACCTAATGGATCTCAGTCAGACCAAACGAAACTTTTACATCTGATTCGTCACAAGCGACTCCTGCAGTTTCCAACCTTCGGCGTTTGACAGGTAATCTGACATTTTTAAAACAATAAGACGATGAGTGTGAGTAGGTTGCATGTGCATTTGCAACATGAAGACAACTTTGAAATAGCGTGTGTGTTACTTTTGCTTATTTCATATGCCATGATCTGATATGAGCCAATCGGCAAAATACGCAAAGGCGGAACTTGATCGTATCATTCACAAGGAGGCACATTTGCCGCTACTTTTTATAGTAAGATGAATTTGAGGAGCCTTTGTCAAAAGCTATCTAAATATATCAAAACTAACGTGACATGCCACGCTTCACTATAACTGAAGCGTGAGTTGGAGGCTTTTTTCATAGCCATACAGTAACGTTAGCTCCAACTATAAATATTGGCTATAGCCATATGGTAGGCTAACATACGTTCTATTATGTTACTTGTACTCATTTTTTTTTTAAATTACTGATACAATCCAGCAGTCACTAGCCTACTATCTTTTTTCAGTTTCACTAGTGACTTTTCATTAGACTATTTCATTAGACTAGTGACAATACCTGCTTTTGAAAGTAGTCTGTGTCACAATTATTGGTGGTTATTCCACTTCCAGTTTACTGGTATTAGTATGTAGCCTATTCCTTGTTACTTGTAAATATTCAAATAGTAGGCTAGTATCAAATCTATAGTACCAATTTATTAGTGTGTATTTGTTACTATTGTCATTACATTTGACAACTGTAAGAATTGTAAATATTGCAATAATAATTCTGGTAACACTTTATTTTACAGCATATTTGTTACTCATGTTGCATTGTTGTTACTATTGTAATTATATTGTGCATAATTACATGCAACTAACTCTAAACCATGACCTTATCCTGACCCTTCCTAACCCTGTAAGTATAGTTAATTATTATTACTTTGTACTTAAATGAATAATTACTCGGACATTTTACTAGTAATAACTGGGACATGCATATAAATTATTTTCATGATTTGTTATCACAACTTTTTATCTTTTGTCAAATCAACTTAATGTGGTTCAGATAACATACTAATTTGAGTTTCTATTTGGTAAACCAATCTCATTCATTGAATTAACTCAAATGTTTAATTTCAATTAACTCAAAAATGTTAAGGCAACCAGGTAACTTACTTTTTTAAGTTAAACCAACAATAATTTTTTACAGTGTACTAGTAAACTTGGAATAGGTACCAGCAATATTTGAAATACATACTAATTGGAAGTGACTAGTTGATATCATTCTGAAACACATAAAAATTACAATTACCATAGATTCAATAGAATAGTTAGGCGTACGTGTCACTAAAGGGATAGTATTAGTAGCTAAAGAGTAATGTCTGTGACTAATTGAGTCACTATTTGAATAAGAACGGTCTGGAACTTAATAATTACTAGTGAAAAAAAAAAACTAGCTATTAAAATAAATACTAGTAACCTAAAACGAGATGTGAATGGAACAAATGTTAAAACCGAGTTGCTGTAATACCCAACATTAATTTTTATGTCAGAATATTTCATAATGTATTCCTGAACGGTAGATTACTGTTCTTTTAAATGCTCTCTCTCTCTCTCTCTCTCTCTCTCTCTCTCTCTCTCTCTCTCTCTCTCTCTCTCTCTCTCTCTCTCTCTCTCTCTCTCTCTCTGTTTAAAGTTTAGCATGGATCTATTGAGATTTGCCAGACACTGTATGTACATTGCATGGCTTGGTTTCTTATGGAGGAGTACAGCAGATCAGCACAGCCTGACAGACCACCTGCAGTCTGCCAATGGATTATCCGGTAGGAAATCATCATTCAGTTGAATCACTCAGCGTTATTTCCCATGTTTTATGTGTCCGTATAGTGTGCATTTTACGTGTTACATAATACCAATGGAACATAGTGTAGGGGGTGATGTCCCACTCTGAGAAATGGTGCATGATATACACCGTTCTTGTGCTACTAGATAAGATGAAGTGCTTCCCTTGTTTAATCAGAGCCTCATTGGAGATGATGTCAAACCTATCTTTCACAATCCAAATGCTGCACTTACATTTGTTGACCAAGAACTAAAAGAATTGACATGACCGAAATATGTGTCAGGACAGAGGTTTAGTTTAGCAAATGCACAGAGTGACATAAAGGCCTCCCATGAGGCAAGACTGCTGGTGTATGAAAACCTTGCAAGTTTTTAGTGTCCATCAAAGTCTCCTCTTGTGCTTTGACACTAACGTTCAGTTCCCACTTAAAGGAGTCATAATGTGCAATTTTCACTTTTCCATGAGAATCAATGTATGTTATGATTGACTAACGATTATACATTTGCCGGGATGCCGATATTCAAAAGTGAAGCGTTTGTTTACTAGCCAACGTGCACGCGCACTCAAATACGAGATTTCAATTTCTCCCCCGACATGACGTCAAGACGGGGCCGGATATACCATATATGGACACCGCAGAGGAGGCCCGCCCTGCCCCTCTCCCCATCATATTCAGTCAAGAAAGATGCAAGAACGTAGTGCACACGTGAGTTGCTCTGTGGTTGACTGTCATAATCCACATTCTAATGTTTTTTTTTTACCCAAAACTGACCAAACTACAAGGGACAAGAGGATGAAATTTATTTTTAATGACGCTGTTCCAACAACCATCTCAACTTGCTCAACGTTAGGTGTCTGCGCTAAACATTTCACAAAAGAATCTTTTACAAATTTGGGGCAATATCAGGCGAAGTTGGCATCGAAGCTACGTTTGGAAAAAGGTGCCATTCCAACAATCAGGGACTTGCCTGAATTTGAAACGGTAAGACTGTGTTTTTATTACTATATTTTGTGTAACAAACAGCAGCTAACTACTAATGCGGTTAATGTATGTGATAAGGATAGATACATTTAAAAAACAGTCAAGAATTAATAAACATAAAGAAAAACATAACGTTACATGTCTGCAGATGAAAATGATTAAATATCTAAAAAACCACAACGTCAAAAAAGGCAAAAACAACACATTATAGCAAACGTTAATCTCTATAACCACTGTAAGCTGAAAATAAAGTAGACTACATCTCCGTTAATGTAATCTACATTAAATTAAAGCTAAACTTATGTGGGAGAAAATAGCAAAAAAACGTTTTAGCTCGTTACTGATGTTAATGTATGTCTCAGTCAAAAAAATTGTCTTTACCATTCAGAGACATGTTGATGTAGACGTCCTTCAATTGACTGTTGTTCCTCTTCCGTTTCCAGCTCTGGTTCAGAGTCTGGCTCAAACATATACGGTTGAATCCCGTAGGTCGCGTTCATTAACAACTTGCGCCATGATCTCTTTTTGGAATGATATGCTGAAGTTACCTGCGGTGTCAAGCCCCCTCCTTCCTACCACCAATCAACGCGCCCCTCATTTGCATTATTAAAATGACCGTCCACGACAGCCAAAACCTCGCATCAGATCTCGCGAGACAATAATGCATTCAGAAATAAGGGTCAAACGAGCTCTGTGTTTATTTTTTTCCAATTTTTCTTTTTTAGAAGGGCATGAAATGACTATAATAGACCGTGGGTATCAAAGTTAATACTACATTATGACTCCTTTAACAGACTGAAGCTCATCCTGTGATGCACCTTCACCATGGTTATAATCCACTCAAAACTCAAATTAATAAAATGCAGACCTGGTGAAAAGATTAGAAAAAGGAACACTCTTATATATTCAACAGTATTCTTTGGAAATTATTTTATCATCATGACACTTTCATTAATAAATTCTTCCAAACTCCAACTCAATCTAGCCTGATCGCTCAGAAAAGATTAATAAACCCTAAACATCATCTGGCTCTTTAAAAATCTGTAAATCTAGCTGCCATTCTAGTGCGCAATGACCTTTGGGGTGAGTTTTTAATAGTCAGTTAGGGTAGTTGAGTAAAGTGAGTTTTATCACGGTATTGACTTTGGGAATAACTCAAAATCTTCTAGTCTGTTCCTGATTTATAACAGATACTTCACAGGGGTTACCAAAGAACTGGAGAGTTGCTGAGGTTTCCTGTTACTATTTCTGTTATTCTAGTTATTAGTTTACCGTGAGTCACTTGGATAAATGCCGTAATCAGGCTCAGGTCATCCATCCATTTTCCCAGGCCCTCTGCCTGACTGGGGTTAATTCAAAATGGTCATCTCTACATATACCAGGTGAAACTCTTTGTATGCATCTGGAAAAGGCTCTGAATTGTACATATTAGGTCCAGGGCTTTGTTGACTTTATCCAACCGTTTTACAGAAGGACTTTGCATCTCAGTGCTTGGTGGAATGCATTCCCTAAAACATTTCTCCTTTTATAGGAAATGGTGGGAATAATTAGATTTTCAGTGTTATCTCCCTTTGAGGTTGAGAACTGTGAAGTGGACCACAATGGAGATTGTTTTATTGGAATGCAAAATGAAACTTTATATTTGATATTCCAGGTTTAATACAAGTTATGCTCAATCCACCATGTTTATGCATTATGTTGATTACCATAAAATTATTTTGACTCAACTCTTCTTTTCTTTTACAACGAAGCACTGTTGGTTACTAGGTTACCAATACCACTGTCATCTGCTCGAACAGCTTTATGGAAACGCACATAATTCACATTTGTTTGGTTTGAAAAGATTCACTTCATGTTTGGATGGAAACCCAGATAATGTAAAGCTTATAATTTTTATAAAAGCACCTAGATTAAATGTTGAGCTGTAAAGCTGTTTAAATAATTTTTACAGTCATTTTAGGGTTTATGTGTTATGTTGACATGGACAAAATTAGATATAACTTTACACAGAAAAGGTATAAGCAATTTTTCATACTAAAATTATACCATGGATGCACCGAAATTTCGGCTGCCGAAAATTATCGGCCGAAAATGGCATTTTCAGTTTTTGGCCGAAAGATAAAAACGGCCGAAAATATAACGCTCCGCTTATGTACTGCTCATGCTCATCGGAAAAGCAAAGTCTGCTGCCGACAGACGACTAATGCGCCGACATGAAATTTCGATGTAGCAGCTAGTAGTATAACGTTACTTGTTTCGGCTTGCAATGTTTTTATATTGTAGCATCCCTAATTTTAACACACCTATTGTATACGTTTTGCGGCTATACTATTGAAACAATCACATTTATATATTGGCCTCATTCATTTTCATTGTAAGAGCCTCACTGTGAGACAACTTTTTGCATTTTTCTTAACCCTTTCACGCGTACGATCACACCGGTGTGATCAGTCTTGGCTGGTCCCTGGAGCGTACGATCACACCGGTGTGATCAGTCTTGGCTGGTCCCTGGAGCGTACGATCACACCGGTGTGATCAGTCTTGGCTGGTCCCTGGAGCGTACGATCACACCGGTGTGATAGAACGGTCAGTGCATCACGTTATCAACTGCTAAATTCAAACGTGCTTTCGCGCGTTGGCTGGCACTGAGCCAGAGACAGACGCACTCAGTGCTGTCATATATCACAACTATTGAGTATTTTAAACCACATAATGTTTATTTTAGGTTTCAGACATTTAAATACACATAAGTACTAGCAAAACAGTGATTTTGAGTTAGTAAAATAGACACTGATGTCTATGGAAACGGCAACAATAATCATTTCCATTATAATAAGACGAAACGTTTTATTCATATCAGATACACATTGTGTAAGTAGCTTTACATTTTACCTATTCTTCTCCTAGTTCACCGGCCACTTACTTTCATGTATTTCGTGAGAAACAACAGATCCGATTCTCTGAACTGTGAAACAAACTAACATGGCGCCGCCCATCGCGCATACAGCTCAACTAACGTGATCGGTATAAAGATGTTTATAAGAATGTGTATAGTTCTATAGTGTATAGAAGTTTAAAAGATGTGTATAAACAACAAAACACATCCACTTGCACATATTTGACAATCGGAATATCAGTGTTTCATGCTATAGCTAATACATTTGTGAATATTTTGAATAGAAAAGGAAAAAAGACATAAAAGCAGATCATCACTCATTCAGCTCTGTGTTGTGATTGCACTGTGTCATGTGATAAGAAATGACGCGTCACCATGGAAACATTAAAGTGACAGGTTCTAAATAACGGTCGCCTTGAAAAACTCACGCTGGGGGGTCAGTTAGAATATTTTAAACTTACAATCAATTTTCTTAACCAATTAATTTTGTTGTAATCAACACTATGCCACAAGTTATGTCGATTTATCTTAAATGGTATTGAATGCAAAATATTCCTTTAAATAGAAAAATAAACATTAATTTTCAGCATTAACATTGGAAAGTTAAAGGAGAACTCCGGCGCAAAATGAACCTTTGGTCTAATAAAACATTGGTACCTAGTCAACCGTTCTCTGAGATTTGTTTTCATGATAATCGAATGTAAAGAGTTTTATCTCTAAAAACTGTTTAGCGTATAACGCTAGTAATGGGGGCATCTATTAAGTAAAAATTAATCGCTAGTTTATACCACTAACAAGGCTCAAAATAGCCCCACACTAACACAGTAACATAATGAGGGTCCTTACATGCAAAACGAAGCATTGAGAACTTTGTAAGTGTACAGACCGTTTAATAAATAGATGTTTTATAAAGACAGTCCACTTCGTGTATACAGACAGGAGCCATCTTTGAAAAACAGTCTCGACTAGTCAAACCACAAACGACGTGCTAAGTGAGCTGAACTGTATGAAGTTCAGTGAACTTCTGAACGGTACGAATGGCGTTCGTGGTTTGACTAGTCGAGACTGTTTTCCAAAGATGGCTCCTGTCTGTATACACGAA